AAAATATGTCTTTGCTACAGTACAGCACGTCTCTAAAGTGGTGGTGGCAATCGCCACCATCAGGTCCGAAAGGGTTAAAATAAAGTTGTACACCAAAAAGTGTGGAGAAAAAAGATCAGTGACGTAATGTGATAGCGAACATATGATTTTTAGTATGAGGCGGAAGTATGCTTATTAGGGTAAGGTACGGAATGAACTCCGTATGGAAAACAGCTTACCAACATCCCATTGATCCATCTTCTTGCGGCTATCGAATCCAAACCACAGATCACCAACGAGAACTGCCGATAAAACGAGGGTGATTTGTCTTCTATCCGACAGTTGTGACTAAAAGCGATAGAAATCAAACATTGTACGGAGACGGCTAAAATTTGAAAGCTTGAAAAAGACAGAAACCAACCCACAAAGCCTATAAACAACCAGAAAAAAGAGATAAAAAACATATTTTGAATACAAGATTTTAGCAACTTACGCTGTCACTGTGCATCCAGATACTCTACCTTGCACAAAGGCAGCCGCAACTTCAGCTTTGGACTTTCCCACATCAGACATCCTAAAAGTCATATCTCTAGATCTACCGACAAGACAAATCAAACCGAAAATCTACCTAAAAAGAAATTGCCTGTTGAGATTACTAATGTCTATAGTGTCCATGTCGATGACATCAAGGTTTTGGAAACCAGATAAAGCCTGAAAAGCTAAGTTCAATCAATTACGTTCAGTGTACAACCCTTTCTAACTTACCAGATTCTTTAAGAGCTCACAGCCCAAGCCACCAGCGCCAATCACCAACACTCGAGTCTTCTGCAGTGCAGCCATGTTCTAGAATAAATATAAAAAACAAAATTCGCACTCGGGAAGAGTTGACATCCAAGTCATTACCTCTGGTCCAGGTTCAAACCATGGAACAGCATAGCCAGATGGTCTATCTGTCAGTTTCCGAATATCACGCCATCGATCTCCAGCTAGCGGATCCGAGCAAACGGAATCCACCATGGCCGTCCTACAACAACATATGTAACGCTTGAAAACACGTTTTCGCGTCGAAATTTCGACTATAAGCGCACATCAAAATGCCCAAAAAATGTATTTCCATGAATGGTTCGAAATTACAGGAACCAGCAGCAATCGCCTCGCGTGTGTCACCTCGACGGCGCCCTAACAAAAACAACCACGCTATCGTTCATTAATTTTCGATGATACGCATCCATAGGAGACAGAAGGGCATACTCTAACCTTTCCCGTAGAGAAAAGAAAAATCAAACTGTCGAAAACGCCGGTCATACTGTAAGCGATTTCAGTCGGGGCGCGATTTGGCAATGCTCCAGCTATTTATAGCGCATTTTGAATGACAGTAGCGTATTTTATCTCTGTGAAAGTTATACACACTATGCATTTGTAGTCTGCATGTACTGAGTTGAAGACATTTGAAAATGCCGGAAATGACGACTGAGATCGCGTCAAGTATGCGCCGAGACTAGCGCGCCGTCATGCTGCAAGTTGTGCATTGCCTGCGTCAATGACATGTCCCCTCTCCACCCATCGAAAAGTTTTGAAAACTTCTAACCCCAATCCCGTAAATCAAGAAGCAACGCCTAACTACATG